TTGTAAAATAAGTGGGTAGTATTGAAAAGTTATAAAAGTTGGTGTAAAAGAGAATATTCTGGGAATATTCTTTTGGGTTTGAGAATGAGTTTTTCGGTTGGAGATGAATTATTGCAAAATGTGATAGTTACTGCAAAATGGGTTTGAGTTTGAGTTTTTCGGTTGGAGATGGCCTAAATAAAACTAACGATAGAGGGCAAAAAAAAAAAGGGTGGACAATAGAAGCGAGGAAATTGAGTCGGTCAAATTCCATAAACGTCCGTTAGTTCGAGCGATCGAAGCTAGCCGTGGCATTCTGAAACCAATCTTGTCGATCGGAATCACAGATGGTTTGCGAAAAGTGTAAGATTCAAATCACCCTCCTTTTTTCTGTGAATTTTGATGCGAAACAATCATGAATTTGTGACCTTTTAGGGTTTTTCCTTTCCCCCAAATCGGGGTTTTCAATTTGATATATTCGTTGCGTGTAATCTGTGCAGGTGAGAAGAAGCTCGCGAAGGTGATAGTGCCGGACAAGTGGAAGGACGGTGCCCACAACACCACCGAAGGCGGCGGCCGGAAAATCAACGAGAACAAGCTCCTGTCTAAGAAAAACAGGTTCCATCAATTTCCCCCTTTTTTTTTTTGTAGCAATCAATTTTTATAGCCATGGAAATTGAAATTTCTAGCTTAATTTGTTCATTTGGGCAATTGATTTGGTACTTAGTGAAATTGGGCCTGTTGTGTGACATCTTATTGCTTGAATACAGGCAATGTTTTCTCTATATTTTCTTGAATTGCATGAATTTATTTGTGATGTTTGCCTAGTTTGCATCAGGAGTTTGGCTCTGTATCCGTTGCGATTGGATACAATTTTTTGGGCAGGAACTATGATCGGATACAAATTTTTAACTCAAAATTAAATCTTAATTTAACTCAAATTAACTTGAATCGATACATTATAATTAGTTAATATAATCCCACACAATTTGCAACAAAATTAACTATTCATACTCTCGTTTATTTTTAACTACCGCTCATTTACAATCATTATCCATACCCAAACTAATTTATATACCACATTTTAACTTGTATACACTCACAAACTCAAAATCCTACCAAACTCTCCAATGATCCAATCAATCAATTCTTTTTTTTTTTCTCAAATTTAACTCAATTTATCCGATAAATCAAGTTCAGTTAAAAAAGTTTACTTCCAACTCTGATAGTAGAAAATAGTTTGGAGTGTAATGCATAAAAGAAATTCGGTTATGTAAATTGCGATTGGCGTCCCAAGCACAAAAGATTCTTTTGCAGGGGGTTTTCTCTTACCTACAGATTCCTTTCTGATTTTCTGTATAATTCTCATTTAGAGATTTCTGAGTTGTTCCATTAAATGAAATGGTTATCCCTTCAAATTCGATTTGTAGTTCGCCAGGTACAAGGGAGCTATGAAAGTTCCTTTTTTCCTCATTCCAACGAGTCATTACAATTGAGTCCTTTTGCAGATGGACTCCTTATGGACAAACCAAATGTATTATATGTAAGCAACAAGTACACCAGGATGGCAAATATTGTCACACATGCGCTTATAGTAAAGGTAGTATTTTATTTAATTTTCTGATTTAATAATTAGATGAGTCCTTCCGGATTCTGAAATATTTTTATGATGCAGGAGTATGTGCTATGTGCGGAAAGCAAGTACTCGACACCAAGTTCTACAAGCAAAGCAATGTATAATGCTTCAAATGATTTATGATCATTATTTTTTGTATGTTTTTATGCATGGTGGATGGACTTTATCTGTTTCATATTGACAAGTGTTTGCTCGACATTGTTGATAACAAAGAATTCAAGCTGTTATGGCTCTCTAGTTAACTGTATTTGGAGTTTGGTTCATTTTCAAGTGTTGTCGAGTACAATATGATGTAATTCTGGTATTGGAATTCTACCTTTTTTTGGCCTGTGATCTTCATTTTCTTTTTATTTTGACTATATGGGGTTATAAAATGTAACATTATTCAGCACGGTAATAAGCTTTTTAACTCATGTAGCTGCACTGCTTCCTGTTGGCACGTCTTGGAAAAAAAAAAATCGTGTTTTGTTTCAATCGTAAAGTCTTGTCAAAATCAGTTTGATGAATTCTTACAAAACTTTCATTGGCCACATGGTCTTGTTTTGTACCCATTCCCAGACAGTGATTGCTCTTTAGTTGCAACGATTTATTACGATCTAAAACGCATATTTCGGATTTAGATTGGATGTGGCCATGGTTCTCTACCAGGTCAATTTCATATTAAATACTAAGATATCTAGCTTTACAGGTAACATAAACTGGAGATTATTACCGTGCATGCCTTTTGCATGGATAAATTTGCCATAATGTGTACCATTCAAATCGTTCTTCTTTTGAACATTGGATAACAGGATAAGAGTAGTGAGTATTTGGCAGGACCACAAAACATGCCTTGTACCATAGCAGATATCTATAGAAAAATACTGAAAAAAACATTACATTCTAAAACCGTGCGAAAATGTGATGACCACCAACTAATCGGAACTTGAAACGATTCATCTTCTATTTAACGTCGCCATTGGTGGAGTATCGAGATTGCCAGTACTTCTCGATTTCCTCTGCAGTTCTTCCTGGAATTCTTCCGGCAATTAGAGTCCATCTGAGGAGAAAAACATGCAAAACACATGAATAAGTCGATATTATTAAAATCACACACACACACACACACACACCACACACACATATATATATATATAATAATTAAAAAAAAAGCTAAGTTGGAAAGAAGAGAACTAGGTGAAAACTGATTTACCTTTGGCCAACCAGTTTATACATCCTAACTATGAGTGCCACTTCATCTTTGGAGAAGTGAATACCAGATTCTTTCATATTTACCTCTGCAATTCAGAATATCATCTTCTCAATAATATATAATACCATTGGCATCTGTCGTTGGCCGATATTTGAGATAAAAGCTCGTAAACTAGGTGAATCAATCCAGTTTGATGATCGTCTAGTCGAAAATATACTAAATAAAAAAAACGACTGCGTAACGGAAGAAGAAAAGTAATGGAAGATGGAGATTAAGTACCTTGAGAAGCAGAGAAATTATTATAATTGTCATCAGAAGAAGAATTTTCCGAGGTTGCCGCCATTTGAGAGAAATATTTCTATTTACAGAACAGAAAAGAGTGGAGACTCTGTGGTGGGCTTCGGAGTTA